GAATTTGGGAGCATCTGATTTTAAATAGGTGTAAGGTGGAAATATAACACATTGAATAGGGCAGGGAGCAGTTTTGACAAGCTTACTTCACTGTAAAAAGAATATGTTCCACATTTTCTTTACATCTTTGTGCACCTTCAAGTGTGACTAGTTGGTTTATATGTGTTTCATACACATTTTGGAAGGAAATCTTAAAATGGAAGGATTCTGTTTTGCAATCTTGTAAAGTTCATAATGTGTATGTACTTAACTATTTTAATGGGAATGGGTCAGCCAGATGGTTTTATTGCAAAGGGTTTGTTTTTTTGTTTCACCCAGCAAGTCAAATATGTGCTAGCGTGTATTGTTTAATTCTGTCGATTTAAATTCTGAGTGCAGCTAGACAGAGAGGGTGTAATTGCTACTTGAATTTGTTTGAAATTATATAATTAAAGGTTACAACCTTGGAAAAATCATCCCCTTTTGTGAGATCTTTACAACGTTTTGTATTTTATTTTGTGGGAGTTATTGTGCAGTTTTTATTGTGAAAATCATTGTGGCATAGTTAAACAATGCACTGAGATGGTTATTGAATCACAATAGGCAATCAGTGTGCAGTTTAGTATTTTTGGATCAGATAACATGATCTGAATGTAATTCAGGAGAGCCTTATTTTGTTTAAAGATCTTGATTGTGTTTCTGTAATTTGAACATCTTCTGTGTTATACCAATGCACAGCTTATACTGAGCAGGAGTCCTCAGATTCAGTACCATTTTTTTGAGTTTGTAGCCAAATAGTGCAATTGTGTAGTAGCATTTCTGGGTATGTATAAATACACAGGATGTATTAAAAATAACTGTACTGTTCTTTCTTCTGTGTAGTAGATAATTGCATTTTAAAGGCTATGCCGTACTCCATTTCAGCTTGCATTGGACAAAGAACCAAAATGTCTTTTCTGATACATATGCTGAAGGAGGGATTACAAAATAAAATTCCAGGCTACAGTGTTGAAAAGCTGATAATAGTCCTTTATAGTCTTGATGCTAATCCAGAGTTCTAGGAATAATGATGCAGCTTTGTGGCTAAGACAATGTTGTTAAAGGATAGGTTTGTGCTTTATGGTGGGAGACCGCAGGGCTGTTTGTAGACCTGTGTGCTTCACGCTCTCCTTGTTGTGTGTTGTTAAAGGCAAGCATGTGTCTTGTGTTCTTTTGCCATACTTTTCTAGACGCATGGGACAGAAAAGGCAATCTGAACCTTTCCTTCTGCTCAACAAATAAACTAGACCAAACTTTTTTGCGGCATTGTTGTCATGGTAACTGCACAGGTGCTTGCACTGGCTCATACCTTCAAAGAGAGAAAAGTGAGGGGTTCTGCAGAAATGCTGCGAATTTCAGTCCTGACACAGCAAATTGTGTTTGAAAAGGCATCCTTCCTAGTACTAGAAACGCCTGTCCAGTGTTTGATTGTTTGTACCACTGATGTATGTAGATGTGACTTGATCTTATGAACAGGTTTCTCCCTTCTGAACAAGTTAAGAAACTTTCTTACATTAGAGAATAGGAAGAAACAAAAACTACAAGCAAGCAATGCTCCTAACATTTATAATAAATAAATTTATAATGTGTGCATTTGCTGTTTGTAGGTTTTGCTTTTGTCTGCAAGAATTAAGATATATGTATTGGCATTGCCGGCATGACAACTGTTTTGGAATGAGAATTCTTGAAAAGAAAAATTGCAGGCTGCTTCCTTATGTGTCTTGCTACTGAGTTCTGAATTATATTGGCTTAAGAGGACTAAAAGTTGGTGCTGTTGAAGACAAGGACCTTGACTCCCTTAATACCTTGAGTACAGTCCAAACAAAATAAGATTGTAAATATGTTTGCAGGAAAAGCAATAATCTTAGATGCCATGTTACCCAGGCATCTAAGAATCTAAATCAGTCTTTCCTAAAGCGATGACCACTGGATGATTTTTGACTGCATTTGGTTACCAGTGGCCAGGCTAGTTGGAGTGGGAATGATTCATTGAATAATCTGAGTTGGAGATGATTAATTGGAGTCAAACTACTCAGCCAATTAGAGTGATTTTAGTTGAACCAAATGTTGCAATTAATAAATATTTCATGTCTGCTGACCAGGTTGCCTGAAGTTTCAGTTTTGTGCATGTCGACTGGGGAGTAAGTTCAGCTTATTCATTGGGCTAGGACTGTGATGCATGCAGACCTGCTAGTTTGGCTGAAGCAATCAGAGTTTCCATAGCTTCAGCTCTGGAGTTCTTAGATCCAAAATGAGGCCGGTATTTCATAATTCTAGGCATTCTCTGATGAAACAAGTTACCGTATTTTTCGCTCCATAAGACGCACCTTTCCATAAGACGCACCAATTTTTTAGGAGAAGAAAACAGGAAAATATAATCTGTTTTCTTCGCTCCATAAGACGCACAGACTTTCCACCCCCCTGTTTTGCGGGGGGAAAGTGCGTCTTATGGTGCGAAAAATACGGTAAATGCAGTGTAACTTCAGAGGTATGGAATTTAGGGGCAGATCTATAACAGCCAGCTTCCACAGGAAGTGTGTATCGTTGACTGATTGGTGCAAAAGCTTGGGAACTTCTATATCCCTAACTTTTTTCATGTTCCTTTTCCCCTACGGTCTTGTATACAGTAACAGAGCATAAAGCAGTACATCTGCAGGATTTTTTCCTCAAAAACTTGAAGACACTCTTAGTATACGTATATAGTGTATAGTTGTACCAGCCACAGTGGTGTGAATTTGCTTTGTGTTATCTTGCAGGTTGATGTTGGGAGTGTTCTGGCTTACCCTTAGATTCTTTCTGTGTGGAATTCATACAGAATTCCATGTTTGCTTCATGATAGTTCTCTAGGAGACTACTTAAAGCCTTTGAGGATGATATTGGTTAATGTTCTATGGAAATATTCTGCATTAACCATCACAAAATATTCTCAATGAAAGACTGAGAAGATTCAGAAAATATGGTAGCTAGTGGGGAGCTCATTCGCATGATTCCCTCTCCACATTTGTCTGCGGGAGGCAATGGAATACAGGAGGGCCTGGCGTGCTCTGGTCCATGGGGTCACTAAGCGTCGGACATGACTAAACAATAACAAAACTGCAGAGAACAGACAAATCCTCCTTTTGCATCCTTGCTGAGACTGGCGGTGCAAGGGTTGAGAGCGACTTATGTAAAGCTGGTTTCTTCAGCCTCCAGTCAAACATCTGCTCGAGACATAAAGGTTTATTGTGCAGTCTTCATATGGCTTTATGGAGTATATTGTCTGTGGCTTGATGATTACAGTAACATCCCCGCCTCCTTTTGAGGCATATACATTTTTCCCAGTTGGATGTGCCTATCTAGAGCCAAGTTTGCTTGGGGCAGGGGCTCAGCCTTCTGTTTACCAGATGGAGCCCCTTCTTTAATTATCCTGGAAGGATCTAAAGTTCCCTTCCAGGCATGTGGCGAAAAGGGGATTTGAAGGAAGACCCGTGAGGAAGACATTTATTTTAATATTACAGTACAGACCGGTTGGCTTTTGCTTTTGTTTTGCTTTGTGATCCTCATGCAGAGTATATGTCTTTTATTGTTTTTTTGCAAACATAGGTTGTATTCCAGAGGAAGGCGGCAGGTGCATCTAAATCCTGTCAAAAGGTTGTGTTTAGTGCTGTGATTTCAGTGACACTTTGAAGAGGTATAATTGAGGAGGTGAACAATTACTGGGATTGTCTGTTGAAAGTATTTGTATAGAAGTCGGCTGCCATGGTCGGTGGTATGCTGCCTTAGTAGAGGGAAAAGGTTTCTAGATACAGTTCTGCTTGTGTTTATATATACCTAGTTCCTATGCTCCCCAGATATCAGCAATGTAATAGGTACTGTAGTATTAATGCATAGGTACAGTCGTCTTGGTTTGACCTTCTGCTGTTCTCTTAGTTCTGTGGATCAAGGGCAATGTCATTGTGCCCTCTTTTCTTCAAAGCTCCTTTACAAAACAATAGAGAAGATTTAGCAGAAACCTGAGAAACAGAAGTGCAGCTTCTGCCAAATGACAAAACATAAACAAATAACATATTAGGATAATAGTTGCGAACAGGTATTGCTGAAAGAGAGAATGGGAAAACACAGCAGCCTACAGGGCAGAAATGTGTTGTGACCTTTTAAATTGCGTATCATGTACCTGCAATAAAGTATCAAGTGTGTTAATTGACCCAAACACCGTCTACAAATATGTATGGTTCCTGAATTTATAAAATAAATACATACTTTCTGTTTGTAACTCCCGGTTTATAGGCCTCTGTCAACAGGATGCCTCAGAGTGGTGTTGGTATTTAGTGTCTACAGAGATAATGTACTGTATCTTTTAACGTTCATACAGATAATTGTGCATGTCTTGATACAGTTCTCAGTTCTGCAGATAATATATATGCACCTTGAATAGCTAGTTGAATATCTTTTCAGCAAAATTACACCATTGTGTCATTTTGTTTGCTATGTGTTATGATAGTCCTTGTTTTATGCTTTTTGTAGGGAGAAGAAGTGGGTGACTGTTGGAGACACATCCCTCAGGATTTACAAATGGGTACCAGTAACAGAACCCAAAGCAGATGATGTAAGTATTTCAAGGCATTTTGCATATGACTGTGGATTTGCCTGGCAATTATCAGACAAATGATAATTGATTAACCTTGTGTGAATAAAAGCTAGGGAATGAATAGACCATAGACTTGTGACTTGAGTTTACTGAATAGCAGTCATGCAAGGGGCAGTCTTCCTAGCTGTTAGCATTGCCCCCCCCCCCAAGCACAAGCCCTTGCCACTAGAATTAAAAGTGCAAAGCATGGCGCTAGCAATTAATTGGGATCTTTGCAACAGAAGAAAACAACAGCGTTTTTGAGATCATGATTTTTAAAAATGTGTATAACCAACTGGCTAGAAATTGTTTCACAGAACCAGTGTAGGATATGCAACTTTACAAATAACAATATATCGGCCTCGTGGGCAGTGTGTTTTAAAGGCAAGAAAAGTCTCTTTTAAAGAGTGTTGCTCCATTTTTCAGAGACCTTTGTTAGCCCTGTTTGGCCACACAGAACCAACCACTTTGGGATTGCAGTGTTGCAAACGACATCAGGTGATCATCTTCACATCCACCTGTCTTTGCAGTCAACCTACTGAAACATTTCTTTAATGCACACACTCATATTTGTCTAGGTGCAATGTTTTTGCCTGTCTGTCTGCAGAGGTATACAGAAATGATTCTGGGAGGCAAAATTGCTAGCATTTGAGTAAATGCCTTTCATGACCCAAGGTCGTCATTTGGCCATCTGCTCCTAATTTTGAGAGCTTTGTCTGACCATAATGCTCTCACTTCTGAGCGAGCCCCCTCCCTCCACCCACTTGTCCCCTTGCAAGCATCTGGCTTTTCCTTCTCTCGGCAGGCCCCGACTCTGTTGAGAGCAGTGCAGCTGGCACTTTCTCCTAGGAGACCAATTACGTCACCTTCTAATTGAAAATGCCGCATCTTTTTCAATGCATGGATTTTTCACACGGCGGATGTGATAATTTTTCACTTGACTGCTTTATCTTTTGCAACAGCAGTAGCATCAAAGGGAAATGGGTTGAGTCCTGATCTATGTAGCATTCAGCTAGGGTTGGGTTGCCCTTTTTTGTCCTAGTTTGTGTATATATGCATAAATTATTTTCTCAAATTAGATTTCTCATTTTCTGTTAAAAAAACAGTATCAGTGATGTCTTTGTTCAAAATCCTAGAGAATTATATCTAAGTAAAAACACTCCCAAATAAAGCCTCTAATTTTATAATATTTAAAATTGCATTACGTAGTCTTGTGTAAAAAGAGACAACATCATATTTGACACATTGAAATAAAAGCTGCTTTCCTTTCTAAATAAGGAATGTTTGGTTACATCTGTGTTAATGAAATAAGGCATTGACTCACAAATGCATTATAAATGCTTATATATTGTTAGAAAAAAATATATCCCACTTTTCTTTGTTAGAATGCTCAAACAAAAATTATTCAGGATGGCATGCAACAGATTAAGCTTAAAACTGCAGGTCAGGAGGTAGCAATTATTACAAGTGTCGCGATCCACCTTCTGGCTCAAAAAGCTGACTTTTGGTAGAGTCTGTGTGAACTGCTGATTTTCATTCCCCCCCCTCAGAAAAACAAGAGCAAGAAAAAGGGCAAAGACGAAAAGTGTGGTTCTGAGGTTACTACTCCAGAAAACAGCTCGTCCCCTGGCATGATGGATATGCACGGTGAGTGGGGCAGGGAGACAGTGCTGAAGCCTCTGGGTGGGCTGTAGCCCCTCAGCTGTGTATGGGGGGGCATACGCCATTGATTTCAGTGTGGATTGATAATTGACTTCCTCTTCCACTTGCATCTGGTGTTTGGTTATATAAAAATACAGAATAAAATTGGAATTGCTCAAAGGATGGTGGTTCCTCCGGATGTTGTCAGCACATCAGTCGGGTCCTTGTTGTTAAACATTTATTTATTATTTATTAATTTAATTTATACCCCATCCATCTAGATGAAGTCTACTTTGGGTGGCTAACAACACTTCAAGCAATAATAAAATAAAATAATACAACAACATTAATACAATTGAAGATGGTGAAATAAGTATTGACAGGAGGTAAGGCCTGCCTAAAGAGACAGGTCTTGAGTTTGCTCTTAAAAATACTCAGCGAGGGAGCCAGACAAATTTCTGGGGGGTGATTGTTCCAGAGGCGAGGGGCCGCTGCCGAGAAGGCCCGCTTTCTTGTTCTTCAGGCCTCCCTCGGCGTTAGGCCCCTTGGCCACCCATCTTGACTAAAGCGAGTGACTTGTGTAGATCTAGGTGGGAGGAAGCGTTCTGCCAGATATTGAGGTCCTAAACTGTTTAGGACTTTATTTGTCATCATTAGTACTTTGAAGTCAATGCGGAAATGAACGGACAGCCAATGCAAGGCAGCCAGAGCAGGAGAGATAATGTTGATATTTTCTCACTCCAGTAAGGTTTGGCTGCCGCGTTCTGCACCATTTGAAGCTTCCGCATCAATCTCAAAGGTAGCCCCACATAGAGCGCATTACAGTAGTCTAATCTCAAGACTAAAAGCGCATGGACCAGAGTGGCGAGGGCCCCCACATCAAGATAGGGACGCAGCTGGCCGATCCGACAAAGACGGAAGTAGGCGGTGCGGACCACTGATGCTACCTGGATTTCCATGGTAAGCACCAGATCCAGGTGGACCCCCAAGCTGCGAACCCTACTCTTTGTGGTGAGAGTCACCCCCCAAAAAAGAGAGGGAGTTTCCCAAACCACTAACGTCGAGGCCACCCATCCTCAAGACCTCTGTCTTGTCCGGGTTCATCCTCAGACCTGCATCCATTTCAATACAGCCTCCAGACAGCGCTAAAGGGACGAAATGGCATCCACTGTTGTTGGGGAAAAGGAGATGTAGAGCTGGGTGTTATCAGCATACTGATGACACGAGGCCCCACACCCCTGACGACCTGACCCAGCGGCCTCATGTGGATATTAAACAGCATTGGAGACATAATTGAGCCCTGCGGAACCCCACAATTAAGATTCCACCGAGCCGATACACTTTCCCCAAGCTGTACTCTCTGGGGGATGGTCCTCCAAGAAGGATAGGAGCCAGGTTAGCGCCAGACCACCAATTCCCAGCCTGGAGAGCCTCCCCAGAAGGATACTGTGGTCGACACCATCGAAGGCGGCTGTAACTTTGATATTTAGCCGCAAACTCAGATTTTCTAAAAAAAATAATTTAGTTGATTACAGTCAAATTATTCCGGAGAGAACATTTTGCCAGCTAGCTTTCTGTTACATTGACACTGATGGATTTCTTAATGGTGACTTTTGTCTGATGTACAAAATGGTAAGAAACTAGAGGAAGGAGTGAGACCTCCTGTGTTATTTTGTTAGGTAAATGGCAGGGCAAGCAATGATGTAAGAAATACGGAACTTCACTCTCTGAGTTCTGACTTTTCCTCAGCTGATGTTAGAGGTGATTCAGGTTGCTTTCCCCTCCGCCATTAGTCTCCTGGAAATTCTCCAACCTGATATAAAATAAACCTGGAAAATTAAGGTTTTCTGTCTCAAACATGCACTTGACAGATTAAGACTTTAAATGAGTCATTAAATGTAACCATGGCTACCATCAGTGGAATCTGTAATTTTCCAATTCTGAATGTCTCCATGAGAAGCCGAGTCGGTAAGGTGATAGCTTTTAATAGCCAGAATCTTTTGGCAAGTGTGTGGGAAGCCACTGAAACCCTGTGGAAAAATTCTTTGGTCAGCAGCCTTAGCCCAGACTACCATTGTATCTGAAAGGTGTGAATGTTTCATGGCTTATCTGTAGTATGTGGGTGTTTTATTAATTTTAATGATTGTGCCTTATTAGGCTACAAGCTCTTGCATGTTTAGAATGTAACTAAAACACTCTTTTTGGTTTTTTTTTAAAAATTGTAGTACTTTTTATTTTCATTGTGTTTTGGATTGAATCCTGACTTAAGCGTTTGCCTGCAACGTAAGTTTAGTTTTCAGATATTTGTAGGCATTTGTGCCTACAGTTTTCCACATAGCTGTAAAACCTTCGAATGCTTTCAAATTTTGAAGTATTTTTATGCATATGGATCACAGAAGCAATGTAGATAAAGAACACTTGAAGAATTAGACAAGCTCATGTTGCCTGGAATTATTGCAACAATGGAAAGATTCATACCTGGATATGTAGATAATTTTTGATATGACTGGAAATGACTGTCTGGATTAATTCTGGAATCAACACTTAATTAGGATAAATGCCAGCTTTGACAAACACACTTTGGCTTCTGAATTTTCCCTAGAATTTTATAAAGTTATTGGGGGGGGTTGTTCAGGTATTAGAATCAATGACTTGACGTCCTCTTTGGTTAAGTGCCTCTGTAAAATGTAAACCTATTCACTGTTAAGCTTCATGTTCATTTTGGCATGAATGTGTGACAGATTGCCCTGAAACTTTACTTACTGCTTTTAGTATTCCTTACTGCTGATTTGTTGAGATCACAATACAAGGTCTAAATTGTCTTCTAGAGATGATTGGCAGTTCTATCTTGATTTTACTCCATAATGGTGTTTTCCTTCAATTGGACTTTCATGGAGTAGTAGTAATTACCTACTGATAACTTTCACCACTAAATTGTTCGTGCTGATAGCTTTCACCCTGGCTCTTTTATGCCTCAGCATTTCTGTGCTGGCCTTTGGGTGTGTGCAGTGTAATTCAGGCATTTAAAATTTGCTCTTGTAATAACACTTTGCATCATGTGAATCAACTGTCCATATGAGTGACCAAGGTTACAGGTGTCGATTCATCATAGGCTGATGGAGCAGGTAACACCGGGGGGGGGGGCTGCCGGATTTTCATGTGGTGTGAATGCAGGCTGGCCCAGACTGTAGGGTGTATGTCTAAGCGTATTGGTGCCCTAGGTGAACTAAAAATTTCTGCCATCCTGTTTGTTGTGTATCAGTGAATGCTGACAGTAGCACATTGCATGGCAGTACCGCGAATATGATCACAGCATGCTTCATGAGCAAGGCTTTGCAAGAACAATTTTTCTTTACAATTTAAGTGTCTTAACCAGCAGAGGCTTGTATTTTACAGTAGCTGGTCTGGGTTCACTATTGCTGTAAAAGATTTAGAATGCCCCTTTAGTCTCCAAAGTGCCCACTAAAAAATGGATCAAATGTAGGCAGCATTTCTCAAAAGACATTTACACAGCTGGGAAGAACCTGCAAATGGATTATAAATATTAGATGTGTAGACTGGATGAAATGTAACAGAGGTCCCCCCTGGGGTTGCTGTGCCCTTGCTTTTTAGATGCAAGTAGCTGAGCTGCCTTCATCAAATTTGGTCTGAGGGTAAGTATTTGTAGCAAGTATTCACAGATATTATTTTGGTCTGTGTCGGATTGCCAGTGAGGAGAGCTTCTATTAAATACGGAATTTGGAAACTTGATGATAATTTATTTGTTTGATTTTTATCCTGGCTTCCTCCCTTGCGGCTTAGAAGAATGTGTGATAATTCTGTGTAGCAATGCAGTGTATGTATGTATGTGTTTGTAAATAAAGTCCTGGCAGTATTCATATTTCAACGGGCCAATCTCTTATTTGCAGACGACAATAGCAATCAGAGCTCAATAGCGGATGCTTCGCCAATAAAACAGGAGAATAGCAGTAACTCGAGTCCTGCGCCAGAGCAGAACTCCGTGGGGCAGGTAGACGGCTCTGGAACAAAATCTGACGATACCCAAGGAGATACAAAAGAAGAACCGGGCTCAGAAGGTAAGTCACATGCATTATAGTTATACAGTCTTGTCAGTTCTTCCACGGGTAAAAGGTAACCTTCATGTTCTAGCAGACTGTTCTGTTTCCCACTTGAATGGAAGGTAACCTAATTTTCAAGGTCTGATCCTCTTATTATTTTTCTTCTTACTGTGTATTGTGCATATCTCACTCTGAATTCAGGTAGCTCTACGAACTATTGAGGAGTCCTTTATGGCTAACTCCTCCTCCTCCTTTTGAGTTGTTTGCTAGCTTCAATGCAATACAGCATTTTCTCCTATTTGACTGCCTATCTCTATTATTCTGCTGCCTTGTTCTCGTCATATACTGTATTAATTTATCTGATATTTCATGTGGGGCATTTTTCCTCTGCTTTCTCTGGGGCAGGGGGTTGTGGATTCCAAAACTCTGTTCTGCGTCCTTTGCCTGGATATGGCCTTGGAACAGCATATGGCTTTTCAGTGCTATGTGGAAACAGATGGCACCACATTCTGCTTCTCTAGTCCAGAACATTTTCCTTCCATCCAATCCTGGCAGCACATAACTGCTTGTGAAATTTCTGCTTGGATTCTCCATCATTATCTCAAACACAATCTGTTGTAGTCTGAACATATAATTTTTCCTTCCATGTCTCTATCCCTATTCATTCGTCTAATCTATTTGGGGCATTTCCATCCAACTGATCAAAGGCTTAGTTTTCCCTTTGATTATTTTCTCACCTCATCGTTTTCTCTAGTCTTCAGTCCTATTTGTAAATTTGGTGCCAAATACTGTATAATCTAAGCCTTAAACGCAGAACTTACTAAAGCATGTTAAACTGTTCCAGCTGTTTGCATGTGTTTATATATGCACTCAATGGTCATTGTCTTGATCTAGCATTAATTGTGGATCAGATTGTATTGTGCGGAATAGATTTCATGATGAAGACTAAATTGCCATCTTGGGTTTTATATATCAAAACTATCTTAACTGGAATTTAGTACAAAAATCCATACGGAGGCTGTTTAAATCACAGTCAAAACCATATCTACTAAGTTTATATCTTGTGATCACAGCAGTTTGTGCTCTGCTTAGACTCCTCTCTATATGGCATGAGATCCTAAGCTTTTTAAAAGGCTATAAGTTGAGGCTGGGTTCTCAGATGAATGCAATTACTGACAATGTGTTTGAGCAGTGCATTCTTACAGAAAACACTCCGGGTTTTCGAACACCCTGTGGAGAGTTTTAAAAGTAAACTAGCCCTAATATATCAGCCACTTTAGGGGCGATTAACATTTCAGGATTTTAGATTGCAGCCAGGCATATACAGGAAGGCAGTTACAGCCACATCTTCCTCATCAGGTGTAGGCTATCTATACCACATAAATAGTGTGCCATCCATCCTTCAGAAAAGCTGAGAAGCATGCCGCCTGAATGTTTGCTTTCTGGATATCCGTGTGGCTCTGCCTCCCTCTAGCGGTTGATTCAAGAACCCGGTTTGTTCCTTTGTTCCTGAATGCGCTGTGGTACCTGCGTTGAATTGGGATTCTTTGCTGGTTAAGGACGTATGGCTGGATGAAAATAAGGGTTCAACCTTTGTTAGACTAAGAAATTGTATTTAGCCACGTAAAAAAAGCTTCTCTGATCAGGCAACATGGCGAGCTATAGATTTTTGTTGAACCTTAAAGAGAATGCCCTTTAGAGGAGACAGGGTGCAACATGTATGCCTAGAGCAGTGTTTCCCAACTTTGGTTAACCCAGGTGTTTTTGGACTGCAACTTTGAGAAACCATGGCCAGCATATCTGTTGCTGAAGGCTTCTGGGAATTGCGGTCCCAAGAACCCCTGGGTGACCCAAGGATGGGAACTACTGGCCTTAGAAGTCTTGTAAGAACAGTGGTGTTCTGACATCTTCAAAACTGTTGATTTAGTAGCATGGAAATGCATGTAAATTAAATCAATTAAGTTGAACTAAAAGTTCTAATATGGTAAGAGCCCTAATAAAGACACTATACACTGTGATTGAGAAAATCTTTATGTTGATTCCTTCAGATGCTTCTGATGAACAGAATTCCCAATCATCGATGGAAAATTCCATGAACAGTTCAGAGAAAGTGGAAACTGAGCCTTCAGCAGAAAAGGATATAACTGTAGAGATATCTAAAAACTCTCAGGTAATTCAGAGCATAAAGTGTAATTTTAAATGAAAGTTGTGTGAGAAAGCCAGGAATCTTGGTGTACGTCTGAATCAAAACATGACTCACCGAATTGGATAAGCTTCTAAAAATGTTCACGTATTTTTTGTTGAAGGATTTCAGAATTGACCAACCACAAGAGAAGAAATGTCACACTTATTATTTTTTTTAAACATCTGCATGCTCACATTCTTTTACAAATCTGGCCAGAAGCCATGAAGACTGTTCAGCATCTTGTTGGTTGGGTTTTCTTATTCTTGCAAGCAGAGATGGGACCAAACTGTTTGTTTGTCCTTTGGATGAACAGGTGGTTCCTGCTTCGCAGCACCCCGTCGTCCGGTGGGCACCCATTCAGAGGAGGCAGGGCAGGGAAGCTGTGGCGCTTCCTCTGAATGGGTGCCCACCGGGGGAGGCAGGGCTGAGAAGCGCTGAACCAGCAGGAACCGCAAGCCTCTTGCATAATACTGTGAACACATTGTCATTGCGTGCTGTTGCCAGTCCCCAGGCTATTTTGTCGTCTTGTATACTTCTTGGTACTTGCGTGTAACTCCAATCTTCACAAATGTACTCTGGATGCCTTCTGAGAGATGTTGTGTGTGGAAAGATGAATCCAGGTGCTGTATTAGTACCTTGTGTGTATTGTCTTTAAGACAAAGGTGTACTTGTGTTTTAGAAACTAGCACATATATGAGCAAAAAAAAGAGGGCAAATCAAATTGTGGCTGATAGGAAAATCAACATTTGTTGACTTTGTTCAATGCTAATGCTAATTCTCTTTTCTTTTTTCTCCCATGTCAAGGACTCTGAAGGAGCACCGCCACCTTCTAAAAAGATGAAAGTAGAGGCTTCCTCTCAACAAAATGTGGATGAAATATAAACTCTAGAAATTTTTTTTGGAATTTTTTTTTTTGCCTGGCCAGTTTTTACGTAAGGTACATCAGTGGGCTAAATTATACAACCGTACTCAAGTATCTTCTCTTGGATGAGGACAGAACGCCTATAAACTTTTCAAGTTATCAAGCAAAAATCCAAGAAAACCAAGCAAAAGCTTAATCTCTTCAGACACTGAAAACTTTTTTTCCTGTGAAGCAAAATGTTGAGAATTTAAGTTTCTGTCTCTGAAATGGTTGGGAGTAAACAACTCAGGAGGGGTCTACGCACTGTTTCTAATGTCAAAATTACAATGATGTTGCTGCTGTATTTTTTTTCCCATTCTCTATTTAACATTATAAGATATTTAAGGATGGTACAGGTCAGATATTTCTTCTCATGTGAATTTCATTGTTCTGATGTGATGTCGGCTTTTTTGAGGGTTTTTTTTTTGTGTGTGCCTTGTGTTCCAAAACAAAAACAAACCAGTGCTAATTTTTAAAACCCGTTTTTGCAACTCTCTCTTCTGCCTAAGTGGCCTAATGCACATGGCATATAGGAAACTGTTTGTTGAGATTCTCCACTCCGCTACCCCTTTTATACCATGGTGCTTACAGTTTCAAGCAGACATCACAGTAATCTTGAGAGAGATCAGGAAGCCATTTTCACTCTTGAAGTCCAGAGGGAACCATACCGTTTGGTGACTGTTTTTCCTGTGACTACAGGAACAGTTTACTTTTGAATGCACTGTGTTTGAGCCACCAAGAACTTCTCCTGTGCAAGCCCCATGGAAAGGAGCGCACAGTAACATAGTTTGCATCGGGCAGTTTCTTTTCAGTGGCTATATAATGTAGTTTAAAAAAAGAAATCTTGTTAATTTCACATGAGCATCCTCTGCCCTTCACTTAAATTAGTGCTGATTTGGATGTGTGTTGAACGAAATTATGCAATTTTAAGTACTAGACCTAAATATCCATGAGCCTGTATACGACGGGGTCCATTATAAATACAGGTTTAAATGGACATATGCACGTTGGCAGATGTAGTTTTGAACAGATATATTCTTAAATCAACTTGTTTTGTCGGAACTGGAGTTCACTGTACTGTTCTTAAACAAGACGTTTGTTGAAGCATAATCCAAACTGTACTATACTTGATGCTTATTTTTATTTCAAGAGGAGCTTGTAAATACAGTTTCGTTGCTTCCATAATCTTTTCTTCAGGCATCTCAGCTTATAAAAAGTTGAGTTTTTAATTCGTGCATGCTTGTCTTGGCAACAAAAGCTGCGTACAAATCTCACCTCTATTGGAAGCAGCTGAACGTGCAAAGCCATCTGCAAATACTGTATGCTCTGATGCCAAGTGTTACAGGTATAATCCAGCAAAAAAAAAGAGAGAGAGAAGTGATGACTAACAGATTCCTTTTGAAATCAATGCAGCTGTGGCCGAAATCAGACGTTGCACTGGCATACCTTCCTCCCTCTTCCCACTTTTCTACAGCTGCTCCAAACCTTAGCCCTCCAGAATTTCTTTCAGTGTTAGATAAGGCGTGAGAAAGGGGCAAGAATTTCCTTTCCTATTTCTGCCGGATTCCACTGTTCCACCCGCCAGAAGTTCAGTACTGTATTGGATACTTCCATTTCGTTTTGGTTGCAGCTGATTCCTGCTTTGATTGTTTTCAGTGGAACTGGATTGCGTTCACCTTTTGCACATCTAAGGAGGTGTTGAATTCATACGGTTTCTCTTGATGGCTGGGAAGAATATTTATCCGAAGAAGAAATATACTGAAAATAAACAAAGAGGTGATAGGGAAACAGATGAGTCTGGAAACTGTAAAGCAGCTTGTAGGTTCAGAATGCTTCTGCCACATTTCTAATTGAAGATTGAGGTGGCGGTTTTGAAACAAAAATACAGTAGTTTTCTGCCCAGACTCTATGCATAACTCTTATAAACTAAAGCTTTGTTTCCAGTTTCTCTAGTGGTGAAAATGGCTTGAGGTTTGACTACTGTGTTGCATTTGCATTTATGGGATGGGGGGGGGGACTTGGAAGAGACAGAGGTGCGATTCTGGCCTTTTATCAAATGTTTGCTTAGGTATGAACATGCAAAGAAAGTGGTCGTATACTTAAATATCTTCTTTTTTTTACATTGAAATAAAAATTTTGCATCTCATGAAACTTAATTTTGCTTGCAAATTATTCGTGAAAGCAGACTGCTCTGTAGAAAGTTTCTTTTTTGGCAGATCACAACATCTGAGTACCCAAAAGATGTTATATTTGCACAATATACATAATTAAACGGTAAATGATTCTTTCCCCTCCCCCCTTTCATTGTGTATCTACTTTAGAAATATGGACAGTGGCTGGTTAAATCGCAAGCAGCATGGATGTTATATCCATATTTAACCAAGGGTTGTGTTTTTTAAAAACATGACTGATCTATGAAATAGACAAATATATTTTTTTGAATAATAAAAAAAAGGAATTACGTAGTTGTTAATTGATCAGTGCTAAAATGGTCTGTGGCTCAGAAACCACCACTGACACATTGTCTGGTCCAGTAGCTGCTGTTCATAGAAACTTTGATTTTGTGGTTGTGTGTGTTCTTTTTTTGTTTTCACAAAATTTCCAAGGAAGTCAATAAACTTTTAAATTTCGATGCTAAATCCTGTACGTAATGAATAATAAAATATATATATAGATAGCACTAAAATACCTCAATTTTTTTCATTAGATAGAAGAAGACATATATTGGCATTACTGATGCTGATAAAGTGTATTGATGGAACTGGCGTTTGAATTCCTCTTGTGGGCTTTTATCCTCAGATGTGGCAACCCCACACCAAGGCCTGCAGCCGCCGCTCCGTAAATAGTTTTTTTAGGGCCTATTTGTGCATAGCTTGAGAACTGACACTTGAAATACATGTAGCAGTAGACTTTGATGATTTGTGCCACTCTTCTGCTACTCCGTGGTGCAATAAACCCCCACCCCCCCAGGATAACTACACTGCTTTGTGGTTTTGCAGCTTATACAGTGAAAGACGCCCAGATCCTTTTTCTTACGAATAAGGGGAACAGGCAGGGAAGTAGACTGAATTGGGTTTGTTAAATCCTGTTTGTGTCAGTTTTTACTCTTTTGAAGGAACGAGGTAAGACTTTGTCTTTGCTTGATAGGCAGAAATTTAGCATGGAATATAAAGGATGTCGCTCGCCTTGAGGTGCTGTGCCACCTAACACTGATAGGCCATTTGGATGAGTATCTGAAGAAACTTCTAATGCTTGAAAGTTACAGTTGAGATCCAGGGAACATCCTCTCTGCGGTTTGGCACCAGATCCAGCTTTGTGGTTTGGTGCCATCGTTGCCATTGAGGGGAGAGGCGGCTGAAACTTTGCAACTGGTTGACTGGAAGCTCTCTTGTGCTGCCCACTAAATGCTACAGCTGGACCATTTCTGCTTATTTCAGGGGTCCTGACTGCAGCAATAATGGGTGGGTTTTACCTTGTGTTTTTAAAATAAATCAGAATATCAAGAAGTGCTTCCTTATTGACACATGTGGGGCATTTGGACTTTTAGTTACTTTCAAACTACTATCTAGAGACATTAGGCTAGTAAGGTAACTGATTTTTGGGGGTCGAGGGGCGGGGTGGGAGCAGAGGCCTTCTAGATGGGCAATTTTACTTTAAAACATTTTTTTAGAAGAACTGTTCATTTCGAAATGCTTATGTTTGGGGAACGTGGTTATTAAAACATTCCAAAAAGTGCTGGCACTTAAGAAAAACAGCAGCAACCAATTGGCAAGGCAGCATAAAACTTAGTACTGGCTTTTTCGGGTAGCTTTCTTCACACCAAAACATGGTTATGTTTTTGGAATGTTCTTTATATCTAAAAGGCCCGCTAGAAGGTGTAAAGGATTTTTGTGGGGTTTTAAAAGATACCTAATTGTTTCTCCATCTTTAATGATTTTGTGTGTATTGTACAGCAATATAATTTCCCCCCCTCCTCACTTATTTATTCCATTAGTAGGTTTGTACCATGTACAATGGTTTTCATTTAAAAAAAGAATAAACTTTTAAGATCACAACACAAAACACTGTCTGACTTGTTTGATTAAGGACGAATGCGTTCACCCTCTAAAGCTGCGTTACCTTCCCATGTTTTAAGTCAGTGGTTCCCAATTTAGGGTCCCCAGATGTTTTCCCCACTTGCTGTGCTGGCCAGGATTTCTGGGAGTTGTAGTCCAGAAACATCCGGGGAATCAAAGTTGGGAAGCACTGTCTTACGGAATTGACTATAGCTCCATGTGACAACTTAGGTTTTGCATTCAGAACATAGCAACTTTTGACTCCTCGGGTAAGGCTGGGAAAGATCCGTGGTTTAAAGTCCACAGGAGCCCTGCCAGTTAGAAAGATGAATTATTTTTATTTATTTATTGGATTTCTATCCCGCCCATTGTAGACCAAAGGTCTACTCATTCAGTGTAAGGGAGATTCCTGTGTTCCTAAGCCTGCAATTCTACGCCCACATATTCTCTAATAAGTTTCGTCGTGGGACTTCTGGGTAAATACGCTTAGGATTGCATATTCGTCGGCGTTTCTTAACACGCATCGCTTTGCGCAAAGCCTGTGCTGTCACGGCTAATTGCTGCTAACCGATGGAGGGCCAGGGTGCCTCTTCAGGGGTGAGAGTGAGTAGGTGGCCTGAGATGCCTCCTGCGCGGTGGCAGTTAGCTGCAGAAAGACTTTAGGGGAATTGCCAATAGGATTCATTAAATAGGATTCTGGACAAGGAGAGAGACACTTCTCTCCATAATAATAATAACAACACCTACATGCAGATCTCTGAAATAACACCATCAAAGCTTTAAAAAAACAGCAATAGGATTGCATATTCGTCGGCGTTTCTTAACACGCATCGCTTTGCGCAAAGCCTGTGCTGTCACGGCTAATTGCTGCTAACCGATGGAGGGCCAGGGTGCCTCTTCAGGGGTGAGAGTGAGTAGGTGGCCTGAGATGCCTCCTGTGTGGCGGCAGTTAGCCGCAGAAAGATTTTATGGGAATTGCCAATGGGATTCATTAAATAGGATTCTGGACAAGGAGAGACACTCCTCTCCATAATAATAATACTAACAACTAAGCGCAGAACTCTGAAATAACACCATCAAAGCTTAAAAAAAAAACAGCAGTGTTTATATATTTATTAAACTTATGTGCTGCCCACTCTACCCAAAGGTCTCTGGGCAGCTCACAACAATTAAAATACAATAAAAGATGATTAAAATACAATTAAAATTGCCATCAGGACCCACAGTTGATGTTATTTCATTTAAGTCTTCTGGAACAGGACTATGAGGAACATCCCACAGAAACTTAAGGTTTCTGGTCAAAGCTTGCATCTGTTCTATAAAACCAGCCAATGCGCTTATCCTTTTAAATTACAACAATACGTTTGATAATGTTGACGGGATTCTGCCCTGTATTTTTTTGATTAATGATTTAAATTGGACGGTGCCTGGCACTTTTGTCTATAATAATCATCATCTTTTTTTTTTATAATCGACTGCGCCTGGTGTTTTTGAGGAGGAATAAATGAGGATGATGAGGATGATGATGGCAGCCAGCCCCGTTTCTTCCCCTGCGAAGGGGTTCCTCCCCGCCCACCCTACTCCACCGTCGTCCCCCTCAGAGGCGACCCCGGCCTCCCTTTTCGGCGCCGCCTGAGGGAAAGCCGAGGCCGAGAAGGCGGGAAGCGGCCGCCTGAGGTAAAAAACAGAGAAAAGGGAGGCGGGGCCTGCGGGAGGCGGCCGCCTGAGGAGGGAGAGAGGGAAGGCCGGGCCGAGGGGCGGGACGGGGGCCAAGCCCGGCCTCCGCCCCTCAGAGACGGCGAGGCGGGCAAGGCGAGCTCGGCCGCTGGGGGGAGGGGGTCTCCCCTTCGCCTTTCTCTTCCCGCTCCCAATCTTCTTCGCCCTTCTTCCCGGCCGGCCATGGCGGCCGACGTCTTCGCGCGGGCCGGCCGGTTCCGCCTGTGGGCGCCGCCGCCTCGGCCGCCTTCTTTGCCTTCCTCGTCCCTCTCGCGGCGGGCGGCGGCGGCGGCCCTGGGCCAGGACTCGTCGTCGTCGTCGTCCGAGGACAGTAGCGACGACGGCGGCGGCGGCGGCGGGGGCGTCGACGGGATAACAATGCTAAATCGAGTTTTTAAAAAACCCAATAATTTGCAACATAAATCACACATTTAAAACGCAATTAAACTCTGATAATAATGAATACTACTTTTATTTCACTGTCTCTTGCTTTGGTTTTGCTTTTTTGGGCATCAATGACACCCAAGCTTTGAGACGCACCAGTAGCAGAAAAGTTAGAAAATAGATTTTTGGGATTTCCTGGTAGGTTTGAAGGGAGAAGACCACGGGACATGCAATCTACAAAATTCACTTTTCAAGGCTCTCCAGAAACACCGACAGCTGATCCTCTGCTTATGATCCTTGCAGATCTCCTGCGAAGCCACATTATCGGGGGCCATGAAGCCAAGCCACATTCCCGACCCTATATGCGGGGGTGTCTTATTGGGGGGGCTGTGAAATGTTATCCTTAAGGCCCTCTTCTGTTTGGGGGTGGGAGATGTATTTGGGGACTTAAAGGGGGTTTGGGGTGTGTGTGGGGGGTGAAATCTTATCCTTAAGGCCCCCTTTTGTTCTTACCCCACCCCGAGGCAGAGCCAGAGGGACGGGTGGCCTCATGGCTGAGGTTCACAGCAACCCTGCGATTGGGGGGGCTGTGAAATGTTATCCTTAAGGCCCTCTTCTGTTTGGGGGTGGGAGATGTATTTGGGGACTTAAAGGGGGTTTGGGGTGTGTGTGGGGGGTGAAATCTTATCCTTAAGGCCCCCTTTTGTTCTTACCCCACCCCGAGGCAGAGCCAGAGGGACGGGTGGCCTCATGGCTGAGGTTCACAGCAACCCTGCGAGGCAGGAGAGGAGAGGGAGCAAAAGCTGGGGAGAGAAGGGAGGAGGCCCAGTTTGAACTCCTGGAGAGGATGGTGGGAGGAAAAAATAGGATGATCTCAGGCCTTTCTTGTCCTCACAACAGCCCTGTGAGGTAGGATGCTGAGGAGAGGAGGAAAAATCAGGGGGTTAGAAGGAAGGAAACACAGTTTCTGGAGGGAATGTTGAAACCAACATTATCCCTGCTTTTCCTATTTATTCACTGCTTTAATTTATATACCGCCCCATTAATGCATATGCATTATACTGGGCAGTTTTGGAGTGTCTGCACCTCACATGCCTTTCTTATCCTCACGACGCCCCTCTGAGGTAGGGCAGCAGAGTTTGAGGTATGCGGGGGACTGAGGAGTCAGTAATTGAAACCCAGCTAAATGCCACGGCCTGGAAATGAATATGAACATGGTTGTGATCATCCAACAAAGAATTTGTATGTCTACACCATGTAGATCCTCACAACAGACCTGTGAGGTAGGGCAGCAGGGCCTGAGGGATGAGGGAGTAGCTGACGGGGTCAGTCATTGAAACTCATATGAATCTCACAGCCTGGAGATGACTATGAACATTACTATTCTCATCCAGTGAAGAATTGGTGTATCTACATTGTATACATCCTCACAAAAACAGCCCTAGGAGGTAGGGTAGTAGGGGCGCTTCAGTGATGAAAGGGGAGAAGAGCCAAGGAGGTATTCCATTAAACCCATAATTTACATGCTTTGATGAAGAAGATGAATATTGTTATTTCCATCTGATAAAGAATTTCATCCTGGGCACTCTACGTACCTTCCAGATCCTCCCAACGTCCCTGTGAGAGGTATGCTTGAGTAATGAGGAAGAGGAAGGAGACAGTTAATGAAACCCATGTAATTTCTACAGTTTGGAGTTGATGAGAAGCATTATTCTCATCTGAGCAGTGGTGTCTTGCATGGCTTTCTGACATCAGCCCTGCAAAGTGGACTAGTGGTTCTTCCTGAGTGATGGTGGCAGATTGTTAACAGGATCCCTACATCCACAGCTTGATGATCATGTTGATAAATAAAAATAGTGTACAGTGGATGCCCCATGCACCTTTTTTCTTATCCTACAAGGGCTTGGTGGTGGTGGTGGTGAAACCCGTGGTGGTGAAACCTGTAAGGATTGTTAAATAGAATCTGTATAATTATGTCTGTCTATTTCTTTCATTCCAGTTTAGCCAAAAATGTACCTTATTCTTCTGCAAATAGTTGTAAAGGGTGTGTTTTTATTTTTAATTTCAGAGGTGACTTCATGAGAATATTCAATAGGCGTTTGAAGTCCTGTGATGTATTGCTTGGGATATTTTTCAAATCTCACTAGTTCCTTCCAGTCATCATAATTATAATATGTTTGTATTTTTTATGTCCTTACATCAACTTTGCGGTGTGGGTCTAAATACTTGAATGATATGAGGGGGGAGAAAAATGGATTCTCCTTGTATTTCATGAAGAGGGTCACAAAAATCCAAAGCCAAATGGAACTTGTAAGCTTTTAAGGCCCCACAAGATTATTGGTTTTTTTAAAAAACCAAACACAGAAGCCTAACTCTGCCTCATCTTAGTCAGCCCTCTCCTTAAAGTTGTTCCCGGGGTGGATATCATAAAAAGCAGGAAACGGAACTTGAGCTTTCAGTTCATTTCAGTTTCTGTCTTCTTCCTTCTTTGATTATGTCTCCTGCCCCCCCCCTTGAAGAATGAGTCAGGGTGAAGAGGGGGTCAAGGACTGCTCCAGCAGTTTCATATCTTGTGTCTAAGTGTACACAAGGGGGATGTTTACATTATCCTAAATCCTGTGAGATGAACAAATGAAGATTGTTTTAGTGTAGATGAATATTTTTTAAAACATATGCCACTCTTGGCTTGTGAGAGTCTGCCTCTTCCTGTGTAGTACTAGCAGCTGTATGTGTTCAACAGCTGCATTTATGTGATCCCAAATTAGCAAAAGCTGTTAGATGCGGATCATTGGAAGAACAGGATTATGAAGGAAAAATCTTAAGCTATTTCAGGCAAGCAGCTTTCTTTTTTATGGGTGTTGTGGGTTTTTCGGGCTCTTTTTATTTCTTTTTACCTCTTTGGCCACCAAAAATGAAACAATTACACATTATATCCCCCCCCTCCTCACCATCTCCATTCCCTTGAACAAATATGAGAAAAGACATGTGAATTTCTTTCAAAAGGAAAAGAGTGTTCAAAAGAACATTGATGGATATGTTGCCTGAAACCCTTGGGAGAAGAACTGCTAAGAATTTCATTTATAGGCTGTTTTAGTTGCTGTGCTGTTCTCGGGTGATTCTGCTGGTGGTTGTCAGGAACATGATCTGTGCTAATGTCAGCTAAGAGGTAATGACAAACATGTGAACGAGTGGATCCAACTGGAGGCCTGTCTATTCCTGCATCCTGTTTCCCACAGTGGCTAATCACAACAAATCTGTCACTATATTACAGTGAGCAAACCATTCGGACCTTTGAAAGGCATTTTGTTTTTTAAAAAAAGCCTTCCAATATTTCATTTGTTTCAGAAATCTGTGTTGGAGTCTTTGCCAATGATGTGGAAGGCAAGAATTCCCTCTATTGGGAAATGGTACATCTGGGGACTTCTGTTAAACAGCAGTCAGTTGTTGTAAGATAAGGGACATGAGTGAGGGGACATGAGTGAGGTGTATAAACTTAAGCTTGTAATAAAGAAGATGGATTTAGAGATGTTGTATTTCATAATATTAAAACTTGGTAGAAGTCCATATTGCCTAATGGCTTGATGACATCCACAAGGAAGTACTTCTTCAAACAATGCATAGAAATACTGTGGAATTTGCTGTTGTAAGATGTGATGATGGCTGCCAACTTGGGGGAATTTAAAAAGAAACTAGGCCAGTTATGGGGGGGATGAGCCCTATGACACCCATTGTGGTTGTTGAAATGGAAGGCATAACACTGGAGTTTGAACTTGTCTCTTCAGGGGCAAAAGTGGGTATTCACTGGCATACAAGCAAAAACTCACACAAACACAGAACAGAAAGGGAACAGAGGTTAATCTCCGATCCTCTGCCTCTAGTAAGGACAGTGAATTCCAAAGCAAATCTGTTTTAAGTAATACCAGAATATATTGCACATGTGTTGTTTTGAAGCTGTTTTTTCTTTCTTTCCTGAAGTTGGTTAGCTGTTCTCCCCTCAACAGGAGAAAATTAGTATGATTCAGTGAGGAGTCAAATGTTTCATTTTTAGGATAAAAGCCAGTATGTACATTCTGTGCCATATTCTATGCACTTGGTAGAGTTCGCTGGCTGTGATAAGGAGACCTGCAGGGATTTTTGTCTTTTCTCTTTCAGAGTTACAGAGGATTGTAGGAGCATTTTTTTTGCCTGCGGTTAAAATGCTTGCTTGAAGTGTGACAATAATAAGGTCAAAGATCAGTTTTAGCTGTGACTAGTCTTGATTAGGTAATCTTGATTAGGTAATTAGCCGCCTAGAGGTGGTCATAGCGACCAGATAGGTGGGGTATAAAATTAAATAAATAAATAAATAAATAATGTTTCCAGGTATGTCTTCTTGTTGTTTCAGGATGCTTCACGATTGTGCCTCCCCTGTTATGGATGAAAACATGCCAGCTGTTTCATAACTTACGTTTTTCATATAGTATTTATTTGATTCTTTTTAGTATTTGCATACTCACTGTTGCTAGCTTTTATATTGTTGTTTATTGATGTAAGCCACCGTGGGTCCTTTTAAGGAGAAAATCGGAGTAAAAATATTTTAAATAAATAATAAACTAAATAATAACAGGTAATTTAGGAGTCTCACTACTAGGACAAAGGTGGAAGCCACCTTGGATCCTTTTAAGGAGAAAATTGGAGTAAAAAATATTTTAAATAAGTAATAAACTAAATAATAACAGATAATTTAGGAGTCCCACTACTAGGACAAAGGTGTCCACCGGGTGAGACAAATAAATAAATACGCCTGAGAGTCACTCAGTTTTGCTTGAATAAAAATGGTGTAACTACTTCCTTTTTTTTCCTTTGGAGGGGGCAGATGTAAGAGGAAGGCTGTCAGGGGCCCGAGTAATATCCTCCAAAGAATAATTTCACATGTCATTCTTGATGTGTCAGTTAGCAAAGGTAGCT